CTACAATATCTACAATGTCTACGTGTCTACAATGTCTACAATGTCTACGTGTCTACTATGTCTACATGTCTACTATGTCTACATGTCTACAATGTCTACGTGTCTACAATGTCTACAATGTCTACATGTCTACATGTCTACTATGTCTACATGTCTACAATGTCTACAATGTCTACATGTCTACAATATCTACGTGTCTACAATGTCTACGTGTCTACAATGTCTACGTGTCTACATGTCTACTATGTCTACATGTCTACATGTCTACATGTCTACAATGGCTACATGTCTACTATGTCTACGTGTCTACAATGTCTACATGTCTACTATGTCTACATGTCTACAATATCTACATGTCTACATGTCTATATGTCTTCAGCTATCCGGACAACTGTATTTATTCATTTGTTTAATTACTTAAAAGTTTTATTGGGTAGAGCACGATTAAATGTACACATTAGTTAAACACAAGTTTACAGGGCCGGGTTGTGAGTATAGGCTGCCCCCCCCCCCGGATGTCTGCTGCGTGTTGAGTCCGCTTACCTTGCACAGGTCCTGGTACTGCCGCTTACCTTGCAGAGGTCCTGGTACTGCCGCTTACCTTGCAGAGGTCCTGGTACTGCCGCTTACCTTGCACAGGTCCTGGTACTGCCGCTTCTGGAAGTTGGTGTCGTCGTTGCCGCAGCAGAGCTCGACGTAACCGAGGACGATCGTGAACGCTGTGTTGTGTATCGCACTCGCAAAGTGCATGTGGAGCTGATCCATCGCCGTCTGCAAGAGGACAAGTCACAACCTTTATTCTGTTCTCTACTCGAGGGAGATGATATGCGACCGAACGCCACGCGGTTACAGAGAGCGAGCTTGTACTTGCGCTTAACCATATAACAAAGTAGGTGGCAGCACAATACTGAACGAGAGAGGGAGCTCGTGCTTGGGCTCAATTATATAACAAGCAGCACAATACTGAATCACTTTCGCATATTGTTACGTGCGCGAGAAGAGAAACGACATCGCGACCCTATTGTCAATGTAACCACGCCCCAACCCCCCTTACAGATACGGTATATATCCCCTTACAGATTCCGGATAGCCGCTGCTGCCACACCGTCAACCTCACAGCACGTGTCACTAAGCGATGTTTTTTGGAACGTTCCATCACAATGCCGACTGGCTAGAGTCACCTAACAATCGCGCCATTCTCAGATTGTTGTAATGACGATTGGCTGGCGGCTCACGGAGCAGCGAGCGGGGAGCGAGACACGTACCTGTACTGTAAGATCACGTACCTGTACTGTAAGATCACGTACCTGTACTGTAAGATCACGTACCTGTACTGTAAGATCACGTACCTGTACTGTAAGATCACGTACCTGTACTGTAAGATCACGTACCTGTACTGTAAGATCACGTACCTGTACTGTAAGATCACGTACCTGTACTGTAAGATCACGTACCTGTACTGTAAGATCACGTACCTGGGTCTTGCCGAGGAGCCGATAGGCAGCTTGCACCTTCGTGTAGTGGCCGTAGTCAAACTGCTGGCAGGTTTTCGACAGCGCCACGTCCAGCTGTTCCTCGATCTGCTCCAGTGTGTCCTGCAGCTTGGAGCTCAGCTCACTGCGCATAGAACGATAACCGTTAATTATTATATTAATTAAAGTAATAACCATTAGTTATTATAACAGCGTGTGTGTGTGTGTGGTGGTGGTGGGGGGCTAGACACTTAGAGCTCCACTCACACCAGTTGTGCATAGTGTGTGCGTGTGCACGTTAGTATGTGTGTGTGTGCGCGTGCGGGCTATGCATTCACATGACGAGTGTGCATGGGGAGTGATTGAATGTGTGCGGAGAGATGCATGCATGCTTGCGCGCGTGCATGGAGAGTGATCGCATGTGTGTGGGGTGCATGCATGCTGGCTTGCGTGCGTTTGCCTGGCATGCATGCATCCATGGAGAGTGATCGCATGTGTGTGGGGTGCATGCATGCTTGCGTGCATGCGTGCTTGCGTGCGTTTGCCGGGCATGCATGCATGCATGGAGAGTGATCGCATGTGTGTGGGGTGCATGCATGCTTGCGTGCGTGCGTTTGCCGAGCATGCATGCACCCCACACACATGCGATCACTCTCCATGCACGCATGCATGCTTGCTTGCGTGCGTTTGCCGGGCATGCATGCGTGCATGGAGAGTGATCGCATGTGTGTGGGGTGCATGCATGCTTGCGTGCATGCGTGCTTGCGTGCGTTTGCCGGGCATGCATGCGAACCTGATACAGCTGTAGTGACGGAACGTCGCAGCTGCCTGCTGGCACTCCAGACACAGTTGGATCGCTCCCGGGTAGTCTTCCTCCTCTAGCAGCTCACTCAGTCGCACGTCCGTACGTTGCTAGCCAAATAAATTAATAAATAAACCGATAAAAATACAAATATTCATTTTATTTGAAAATAAACTGCAGCACACTTCACTGCTTCGAAATTCCCCGTGTGAGAATTGAAATTTACGGAGATAACTTTTGGAAAACGAATTTAAAGAAACCGTTGTAAACTTATATCGTCCACTTTTTATCAGCCAGGCGAGAAACTATAAAGGAAGTGGCGAGCACACCACATCATCTTTAGAGGCGACACAGTCCTACTATATACATATGCATATACCTGCACATGTGCATGCTCTTATGTGCGTGTACATGTGCAGGCGTGCACCTCTACAAATATCTACGCAATAAAGCGCATGCGAGCGGTCTACATACCTGCATGTGCATACTACATGTGAGCGTGGCAGCGTGCGTGTGCGTATATCTGTGTGCGTGCGTACGTACGTATAAGTGCAGCAAACGACTCACCGGGGTTTTGATGGTGTGCAGCGAGTGTGC